GACTTGAACCTATATGGGATACGATATGCATAGTAAAGACTAACTTTATTTATTCATATTGGATTCAATTTCAAGGGGTTATCAATAAAGTTTCTATAAATTTTGCTACTGTGGTAGAATCTGAATATTGTACAGGAATTTTTGACTCATGCAAGTGATAATACCGATCAACATTTGCACTATCTCTGATAAGTACTGATAATCGTAACAAAGACCCTGCAACTTGTAATCCAATTATTCCAAATTGATCTTTCTCAGGTCTACGGCTTTTATAAACCCAATACATACCGTCATTAACTTCACGCCACAGCTTTACATAATCATCTTCTATCTTCTGGGGGGAACAAAATAAACGTGAGCACTCAGAATACATGAGCTCATATTTTTTATTTTTATCTTTCACAACAAAAATAATATCTGACCGTCGTCCTGATCGCCCCTCTCCTCTTCTATCCGCACTGGCGATGCTTTGTCGTTCGAAACTATATAAAAGAAAAAACGATAAGTTTAGGTATCGATTAAAGAATATTTAATTTGATACGATTTAACGTACGTGGTAATATAACAAGTCTTTCCGTAAGGGAGATTCTTTAGTGATGCCTGGAGTGCAGGTAATATCATGTTAGTCACATATGTACCCTCGTTCAGCGATTCGGCGTGCTCAGGTCCAAATGCCGGATTATTCCAAGAATTACTCCTAAAGGAATAGCTTATTGTTATAGAACACGATTTTCATTAAAAAGATTACAAAAATTCTTACAGTGTTTCCAAAATTCCATTCGCAACTTCTACTAGCTTTTCATCAGACTCTTTCCACGTTCCATCATGCAAAAGGGCTTGGGGTAGACGGTTGTTACGAGAAACGAATTTTTTCACAAATTCATCACATGTATTCTCTATGATTGATGGGAGAGATTGAGGCACCATTTCTCGCACTGGTTTCTAATAATCAATTTGGTTAGATTATTATTCAAATTCTTTTAATAACCCATCCAGAACTTACCATGAAAGAATCCCGCAAATTTTTAGGTAAATTCTTTACTACATCTGATTTATCGGAAATAACTTGACTCCCCAATGGATCTCTCCACGTTAATGTAGATATAGGTATATTACTTACAGCAAAGAACAAACATTGATATATCGTATTGGTAACCTTTTTCAACTTCGATTTTAGTTTATTTATATTGCTTCTGATCTGGTCCGAGTTGAGAGGTTCTTCATCATTTATTTTCACGGCCCCGATGACACGTAAACTATTAACCGCTTTATAGGAAACGTCGAACTAACGCAGATATAAAATGGATTAGTTTCATTCATATAAATTACATTCTTTCCCAGAAACGCATGCACTGTCAGATTATAAACAAGACCCCATCTTTGTGTGGTTAGCTACTCCGCCACGCGGATGGAAATCTTGTGTGATGCTAGGATAGCAACATAAAATTAAGCATGTATCAATAACCTAATGAACCCTCCCGCTGTCGAGGAAAAAGAGTCAATTGCGGGTTAGATTCTGAAAGCGACTTTTAGAAATAGGAGCATAGTACTTTAGACTTTATTTCGATATCCTGAGGGGTCGGTAACATTTTTTATGGCATAGCCATGAGTCTTTATCTCTACTTTAGTTTCCATATACGGTTATTTTATCCATGGTATATCTATTAGTATAAAACTGCTTTTAGTAAGTATTTTTTTGAAATAGTTGTTAATGATTCACTTAATTGAGTCAGGATCATTCTCGTTTTTGTCCTGTATTATATTTAGGTTTGGAAAGAGCTTTAAATTACCTAACACTCTTTTTATAAAGCTTTTGGATTTTTTCCAGAATTTAACTGATATTTGTGATGACCTTGTGAATTTGCTTTTCTTGTTTCTCTTTTCTTAAATGGTTTAGTGACTTTTAAGAAGCTGAAGTGTTTTCATGTACTTTTTGGTAAACAAACGTATTGTGTTTTGGGAGGATAATTCCTATTTAACTTAATAGATTTCATTTTTTTTCTTTGCTTGTTATTCTTTTAATATGATTAATTATCTTGAAATATTTGATACATCCTAGTTTCTTGACTTTATACAATTGTGTTTTTATTAAGGGAAGACTGTTTTGGCAGTATTGGTTAGGATATAGTTGAAGTTAGTTCAAGAAGAACAGGTAGTTATAGATATTTTGAGGTCTACTTCTTCTTTGAAACTGGTTTCTTGCTAGTTAGTTACTTTTTTTCAATCAAATACCTTTGTTTGACATTTGGAAGCTACCAATTTATATTCAAACCAGTCAAAATTACTTGCACTTTTTTGTGGTCTATGTTGATTGATGATGGGTTGAAAGTTTTTGCATATAGAGCTTTAGTTCCCAAATAATTGATGTATCAGATTTGATCAATTCTTGATACACTTGTTTGGGTTATATATGTATACTTATTCTTTTTATTTATTGATTTGATGATATCTGTCCAGTTATGTAAGTAGTTGTAAATTTTCTTTTTCAAATTTGTTGTTAGAGTATTAATGGTTGATATGCCTGATGAGAATGTGTTAAAGTCTCTTGCCATTATTTGATATACTGGTTTATTGAATTTTTTAATAAACTTAATTAATGATTGAGTTGCTATCTTTCTTTTATTATATTTATTATGATTTTAAAAATTGGAATTGAACAGAATCGCAAAGAATCGCATAAGGTTCAGAACACTATTAAAAATGATGATAGGATATATTTCACCTATTAAATTTAATATAAACTTGAGAGTCAAATATAGAATTTTGAAAAGAATTATTAGGATTCTTATAGTATTCATATGATAGGTATATGGAAATGATAATAATATCAATTTTTGGTTTAAATTTGAGGTAAACTGCACATCAGTATTTGTTTTTAGTAAATGTTTTAAAAATATAATTGCTTAAGTCCTTTCCTAATATTAGGTAAGAGTTATAATGAGCTAGATGGTACACTTAAGATAATTATATTGTTATTAAGCTTCTTGGAAAGAGAATTCCTTTCTGAGGTTTTTGTTTCTGAGCAATATAGAATAGTTCTGTTATTATTAAGGTTTTGGAATAATGTTATTAATTTATTTCTATTGTTTAATTTACAAACATTTAAGGTTGAGATATTAAGTAGATTTTTAATATAAGAGTTAGGAAGATTTAAAAGGAGAATCTGTTATATATCTGTGTTTAACAAATGATTAAAATTGAGTAATGATATTATTTTAACAAATAAAAGAAATGAAATCAAAGCTGGGCTTCGGCAAATATTCAGAGGCAATATATTTTTCTGATAATCTGTCAAATGTATATTTTTTGTGTAGTTGTGTAATCAATAAGAGAAATTTTTATTATCTATAAGAAGGAAGCATATCGAAAAAATGTTGTTCTCTAATATTTTATTAAACTCATCTATAGAAGGTAAGGGTGGCTTTGGAACCTGGAACAAGTTTTTTGAAATAGTACAGAATTTGTATCTCTTATGTAGTTTTCACATAGTTAGTAAAAAATTATCTGCTTAGTAGTCAATATGATCTTTAATAATGATAGACTTATTTATTTTAAAAATTTTGCTTGATAGCTTTTTCTCTGCCTGTTTAATAAATAGCTGAATCAATCCACTGAGGGCTAAGAGGCAAGTTAAATTTAAAGTTTTTTGTAAGTGCTTTATAAGACAGTTGGTATTCTTCTTGGTTTATGCAGAGATGTTCATGTCTAGGTCATCCAATAGTGAATTGGGAGAGTGGAATAGAAATCTTTTGAACTTATAGAAGTCCAAAAACAAAGTTTTAAGGCTATACTCTTTTTTTAAGATGCCAATTAACTCTTTTATATTTATAGTTATTGGGTTATAAGAAAAATAACATGCCAGGTGCTCTGGGAGCAACTTATATAATGCTGAAAGTAGAATTTTAGATAGTGGCAGATTGAAAAATATTTTAAACAATTTTGCAAAAACTTTATAGAACTTGGCAAGCTTCCTGATATTTACTGAAAGTTTTTTTTTAATGTTAAGTGAGGCATTTCTCGTGATCTTTATTAATAGAGTAATGATATTTACTGAAAGTTATTTTAGATCTTTTTTTTTTGATAATAAGGAAAAGGTATTTGGTTTTTTTATTAAGATCTCTAGGATTATTTGGCAGTGATTCAAACTTGAAAAAGTATAAATCAGGAAGTTGAAAAAACTTTTAATGTATTCTTAAGACTGATACAATAAATGTAAGCAATGATCTTTTTTTGATTAGCAGTAGTCTTGGAAGTTTAATGACTACACTAGAGGAAATAGATTCTGAATTATCTGGAAGGGCTGATAGTGATTCATACAATATTTCTTTAATCATGTCTAGTAGCTCAATATAGTCAATAGTGTTGTTATTGTCATTTATGAAGTAATTGTATCTAAATTCAAGGATTTGTACAATTTCAAAGAATTTAAATTTGCTCAAGTCTGTGAATTTGAGACAAGCCACAAATAGTAATGAGTTGAGAATCCATCTGATTTTCTTTTTGATTCTTCTGCTAATATATCCGACATCATTTATTTTTTTGTAATTCTTATATGCTTTTGCTTCTAGCTCTTTATACTCTTTTTGGTAGTTTTTTTTAATAGGTCATTCTTAGTAAATAATTTGAAAAAGGTTTTATTTCTTAGAAGGATTTCAGTAAAAATTGCTAAATAAAGTTCTTGTAAAACTGTTTATTAGAGAATACTTTCAATTTTTTTGAAGAGATCTGCTACTGCTCTGGCTTTGCTGTGGCAGGCTAATAGCTGTAATGCTAGATTAATAATTGTGTTGTGCTCACTAATGAAAAATTTATTGTTGCTTATTATGCATATAATAATAAAACTATTTATTGGATGGCTACTTCTAAAAGGATCTCTGCAATTCTGTTTTCTCTATTGTTTGGAGATAAGATCAATTGTAAGGTTTCTAATGAATTTTTAGTAAGTTGAAAGCTATAGGAGTTGTCGAGGTCTCCATATAAACTTGTATCATTAGTTAGCCAGCCAGATTCAGCTTCATTTAATATTTTTTTTCTTCTAATTTAGTCTGATATAAGTTCTTGATTGTCTGTCTAAATGGGGAGTAGATTCTCTTACAGGTTGCCTAGCTCTTTTTGTACTTGACAATCAAATTCTATGAAAGAACTGATACTACCAATAAGATTTGTGATATTCAAAGATTCCATTGATATATCATTATCAGAACTAAACTGGTAAATTTGATTATACTTTCAGATTTGTTGTGTTGATTGTCTGTAGTGACTTTATGATAGAGATTATCTACTTGTATTATGTCACCTTAATTATGTGTGTTATTGATATTTGGTACTGTGTAATCTGTTGTGTTAATTACTTTTGCATGCTTTTGGGCTACAGGAGATGTATATGTATTGCTACTAATTTTTGCTATTTTAGAATTGTTTGTATTCTATATATCAATGAAAGAGAGTAAGTTGCTTGAGGTTTTTTTTTAAATTTGAGATGATAGCTTTTTCCTTCAAATTTTCAATAGAGTTTTGTTCAGTAATTATCAATTTCTTATTCTGGATTGATGTATTGGATGATATATGAAATGATGCATTTTGAATTTTTTCTAAGTTGAATCTTTTATTACTTTTAATAATATTAATGTGATTCCAGAAAAGATGAAGAGTGTAATTGAAATTATTGTCTAGAACCTTTCTTGCAATGATCTCTCTTATACTTGAAGTAAGATTATTTCTCTCGTGATATTGCAAGAAGTCATTAAGATTGTTTTGAGTATTGCTTTTATGGTTGTTAATAGTTATTAATGCCATTGTATGTAATTGAAGAGAGATAGAGTCAGTTGTTACTTGCTTGAAGTTGATAAAGGCAGTGTTAACTTGTATAAGATTAGTGGTATAATTAGAGTATGTATAGACTCTAATTATACCATTTAGTCTAGATTATAACTATACCATGAGGCCTAAATTATAATTTTGGCCACATTCAAAGGTGGTTGATCTTATAATTTTGGCCACATTCGAAAGTGGTCGATCTCATAATTTTGTCACATTGATATGTGATCTATATTATAATTTTGGTCACATGATGATGGTAGCTAATTTTAGTCATCAGGCCACATAATGATGGTGGCTAATTTTTGTTGTCAGGCCACACTTGAATCGACATATATCAGAACAGTGGCATGATTAATTTCTATCATCAGATCCATATGATGTAATGTATATCAATTTGGTGATTGCAGTTGATTTTAAAACAAAAATATCTTCTGAGGTAGGTTATGCTAGTTGGTAGGTAACTACTCTGTATAATGTTTTAAAGCTTCTAAAATTGTATAGTATATAGTGATTATATTTGATTTCAAATGTAAAAAGCTTTCCGAGGTAGGTTATGATAGTTTGCATATGGTCTGATATCAAAAGTTGGCCGTCATTATTCAAGTAATTTTGGTCACATTCGAAAGTGATCGATCTCATAATTTTGGCCACATTCGAAAGTAGTCGATTTCTGCTATTAAGCCACATGTGACATATTATATATTGGCTTAATTACCATAAAGAATTTCCATCGTCATGCCATGTGCAATAACATATATGCCGGCTTGATTGCCGTAACCAATTTCCGTCACTGAGACATAGACAAAAAAAAATAAAAGTACATGCTATTGGGTATGATATTAATATCGCTATGAGTTTTCTTTAAGCACTTCTGATTTTTCTGCCATTTTCTCTAGCTTTTTTTGGTAATAATGTTTTATATTTCGATACTTACCAGCATGCATTATATGTGTATTATATTTAGAAAAAGTTAGACACAAAGTGTCCTCACTACAGACTTACCACACTTTTTACATGGTGTACATATAGAAGAATTCCTGTAAACATGATAGTCTTCAACTTCATCTTCCTCATTGTATACTTTATCACCAAATAGATCAATCATATCTATGCTAAATTCATTAACAATATATACTGCATAAAATATTTAATAGAAAAAGCAATATAATCAAAACATGCTATATGTATGCTAGATATAAAGCAATAGAGTATATCACGAAAAAATGCTATTAGGCTATGTTATATATACGCTATCTAGTTATGCTAACGAGTAGATTATATTAAAGTATGCCGATTTGGATTGCCGGAATTTTGTCACAAGTTATCACTAGATATCACTAGTTGTTTGCAAGTACTTGTGACAAAACTTGTGATGGCTGTTTAAGAGTTTAGAGCCTTTTTGAGCCTTTTCGTTTATCTCTTGATTAATTTTATATATCTGTCACAACTGTTACAAGTAAAATAGTAGAATTTTAGGGGAAAAATAAAACTCTTTTCTATGGTATATCTTTGATATATACCTGATATATATCCGATATATACCCGACACATATACTCGACACATATACTTAATATATACCTATCACATATACCTGATACTGTATATAGTATACCCAATACATATACCAGTATATATACGATATACTTGATACTTATGATATATGTCTGATATATACTTACCTATAATACATATACATATACATATACTTGATATATACCTACCTTCGATATATACAGTATATATAGTATACATATAAAAAAAATAAGCTGGGGAGCCAATAAATTTTCCTGTGACACTTGTGACAGTTGTGACAGTTATCGAAAACAGTTTGTTTCGAATCCAGACTTTCAAGGACCTATCTTTCTACTGATTTTTTTATTTGTGACAATCTTGTGATAACTTGTGACAGCTATCATTATGTATTTTTTCCAAGTGCCTCTGATTTTTGTGTCATTTTCTCTAGTTTTTTCTGATGCCTATACTCTCTTCTACGATGTTTCTGTGTGTGAGAATCACAATAAACATAACCAAAAGAGGTAAACTTAATACAACCATATTCTTCACAAGAATAACGAATAGGTAAATCCCAGTGAACTTTGCATCCATTGGGATGATAACATGGCTGATTACAAACTTTTCCAGTTCTAAGAATATAAGAACAACGATAAAATGCCATTCTTTTTGATGTTTATCTCGATTGAGTATATAATATGTACCGATCAATATTCTTTAGAATTAATTTTCATTTTGAACTTTTTAATTCCGAATAATATACTTCCAGAAAAAACATGAGTACCCAAAGTGAACATAACACACCTATTGTATCCACATCATCTGATGTACCAACTGTAGATAACCAAAATTTCGAGCCAGAGCTAGAGGAAGGCTTTTCGAGCCATTGCAGAGCAATAGAAAATAGTGGGGCGTTCTATCACTGGGGGTTTAAAGCCAAGAGTGTAGCCAAATATATGTATAAAATCTGTGATGATAGTGTAAAACCAAGACAATTCCTTGATACAGATTCCGAGGATGGAATATAAGCAATACTTACAGAACATATAAACCATTCATTACATGAATATATTGGTGGAGATGACCCAGTTCATCCTATTATCGATTTTGATTTATCTTTAGAAAAATTTAATAAAATCAATCCCAAGCTCACATCCAGAGAGATACGAAATTTTCTTTGTCATGCTTTTAAAGAAATATGCCTAGAAATATACCTGGATTGGGATTGTAAAACATTAACTATTGCCAGTAGTAGTAACAGGAAAAAAATATCTTACCACATATTAACTTTCAGCCTCCGACTCAAAAATATAGCTAAAGTCGCAATATTTATAGAACTCGTTTGCAAAAAACTTCCCACAGCTTTACAAGAAAGAGATATTGTTAATAATATTGCTAACAAAAACCCATTTTCCTTGTGAAAGCTTGGAACACCAAAATTTATCAAAAAAACTAATGAGCATGTGCAAATAAAAAAAGCATTATTTCCAAAAGATGGCACTGTTTTTGACTTTATGCTTCATTCTCCTAATGATGAATCGCCTGAGGTAGACAATCCTCTTTTAGTTGTTCCAGAACCAGTGTCTACCAGAATATATAACTCTTAGAATAAAGCTACCAATATTACTGAAGTTGAACTTGAATTACTGGAAACATTACTCAAAGATGCTAATATTGAAGGATATGAATTATTACCCCAACAGATAAATTTCCTGATACATTCCCTCTCAAACATATAACTTCATCACATTGTCCATTATGTGAACGAGAATATAACAATAAAGATCCGCATGATAATGAAAATGCATATGTTATCCAAAATAAAAAATCATACAGTTTCTATTGCCACTGTGCAAATCAAAATAAGAAGCCTGGTACAAGAAACCCTTCGTTAAAGCTCACTATTGATGAAACAATCTTGGATCGGGAAAACAATCTTCCAATCCCAGAGAAATTAGATCGGTCAAGAATTTCAGATCCAAATGACAATTTCATATGGGGAGACTTACTTCATATGTGTATGTCTAAGAAAAAATTTATACATAATGAGGTATATAGTGCAATTCAGGCAACAATAGCATGTATTAAACAAAGAAAATTAACCTGGATAGTTAAACTTAAAAATTCTGACGGTCTTTATTTTGATATTGGACGCGAATTAGAACTTGCAAAGCATACAATTAATATAATTGAGCATGGTGGAGAAGCAGTAAAATTACATTCCTTGATAGATAGAGCAGTTGCCGAAAATTTAATACATTATGACGAAATTGATTTTCTCCCATATTCTCCAAATGTAATCCCACCGAAAACTAATTTCTTTAATCTTTTCCTGGGATTTCTAGCTAAACCAGTAAAAGATATTAATCCAGAAATTATGAATCCTATCCTTTGGCATGTAAAAAATGTAATCTGTAATGGAAATGAGGAACTTAATAATTATATCTGGAACTGGTGGGCATATTTAGTACAAAAACCGGAAAAAAAACCAAGATCAATTCTTGTATTAAAATCAACTTTACAACAGTGTTGAAAAAATATTATTATTGATTTTATTGGTGATAAGGTATTAGGGCCAAATCTCCATTACGCAACATCTGATTTGGGAAAAATTCTTGGGAAATTTAACAGTGTTATTCAAGATAAAAAGCTTATAGTCATGAATGAAACCAGTATGTCTAGCGGGGAGTGGCATAGGTTTAATGGTCATCTTAAATCCCTTATAACAGAGGGGAAGGTAAGTATAGAGCGCAAAGGTCAACTCGCACGATGTCAGACGTTGTTAAGGATCTAGATACGGAAGAGCTTATCGATTATTTACAGAGGCGAGATCTAAAACTTAAGGAGTCGCATTTCAAGATTTTTCGGCAGAAGGAAATCGATGGACTTGCTTTTCTCGAGTTAACAGAAGAGAGGCTTGAGCGTTGTGGTTTTGCAATAGGACCATCTATAAAACTAGTAACGTTTATTGAGCAAATCAAAGAGCAGAAGTTAAGAACTTATTCGTCGTATAAAACTCTGGATGACCTGAAAGAAATGCTTCGGAAATATAAGGTCAATGGTGATGATATAACGAGCATCAAACAATTCATTCCAGGTATGTGGTATTTTTCCGGGACCGCGCGGTCTCACAAATTTCTTGGCAAAGTGATCGAACACAGGCTAACATTTTTTCTGTTTATAGATTCCATAAAAATCGATGATAATGACGAAGCGTTCAAACACTGTGTGGCAGACATCATATTAATCCTGACAAATATCGAGACGATGACGGATGCTAACGAGGCTACCCGCTGTGAATTTATTTCCTCTATATTACATGCGTCACTTGCCATCGTTCGAAGACTTACCAAAGAGGAAAAGCTCTATATATCATTGCAGAAAGACGCCTCCGGCGAAGAAGCATCTGGTCGTGTTGACTATGCGATCAAGGGAAAGGAAGACCTCATGTGTATCGCAGAAGGCAAGCCACGTAATATTAAAATTGGTTATCTCCAAAATATTATGCAACTCGAAAGTGCATATCATACGAATAAAAAGAAACGTACAGCAGATCAAGCTTTCGGGAACGATGAGTACGATTATCTTTATGGGATCGTATCCACGGGTAAAGATTTTTTTATTATTAGTTTTTCTCTTTTATTCATGAATTTAATCACATTTTAACTAAATACTATGCTAGGTATGGATTGGCATTTTATCGTTTTTACCACAGACGGGCTTTATTGTACCAGTGAAAGCGAATATCAAATAAATCTTTCGAAAACAATGGTCAAAGAAAACCCCGACATACTTAGGAATAGCATAAAACGAATAATAGAAATCATCATCGGTTTATTAAAGGATCGGGTAACGGTTGATAATTCCCCAGCCAGTAAGAGAGCAAGGATAAAAAAAATTACCAAAAAATAGTGGATAGATAGCTTCCCGGCTTCACATGTATTTTATATATTTATAAAAATTGTTTCTGATCGTGGATATAAATCAGAGGGTCAAAGAGCACACTCTATTATCATTTAAGTTTATTATTATAATTTTTCTAAAGCCTATTGATTATACATGATTTTGACTCACGGAATGAGAATAATGCTATGTCTCTTCGAGACGCCCCATCTAAACAATATGCATATATATTGATCATTTAGACTAAGTTTGTGATATAGCTAAACAGTAATATCGATTCGAAGCTTTTTTTGCGAATGGCCCATTTAATCGAAAAAGCCATGGAATAACGGCCCGTTGGATAATTTTGGCAGAATTTGTTCGGATATTCATCCACGATCTAAAGCGCCTTTGGATTATTTCGCAAGCGTACAGATGCGGAAAAATGGGATTTTATGGAATGTTCGCTCGATGAGTTGGAAAGGCCGAAATTCAAACTATCAAAACCAATAGTTGTTGTGTATGGTAATGAGGATATGGAAGGTATGGTTGAAAGGGTTCTAGGTTACATTGCTTGGTTGTTAGAGGAGGCACAGAAACCGGTGGGAGTTTCACAAGGCGGAGAGCAATCGAAAGTAATAAAAAAGCATAAGTCGTCGAGTAATCTCACAGAAGAGTTGGGTTAGATTAGAAAAAAAAATCACATGTATCTATACACGTATTTTTACGTCTCTTTTACATTTTATTCATAATAAAGAAATCATTTTTTACCCAATAATTTATTTTTATTTTTCTTTGCAAGTGATTGGCGTTCCGAAAAAGAACGCGCATACATGATTTTTAAACTCGATAATTTAAATAAATCTGCACCTTATATAAAGTTGTTAACAAAACATGTCATCAGAGCTTGAATCTCAATCTGCTCAATCAAAAATCGATTCGTTGCAAGAATTAAATTCTCAACTCATTGCCACAATTTCCGAGCTTAGAAAGGAGAATGCTGAGGTCAAGGCCGAGAATACAAGAAAATGCTGAGCTCAAGATCAGATTCGAGGAGCTAGAAAATAAAAATAAAATACATACCGGCAATCTCATTGCTGAGAATGTTGAGCTTAGAATCAGAGTCACGAAATTGGAACAGAAGCAGACTCAGGCAAAAGGTATTCCGAAACTTATCGGCTCACGGAGTGAGGATGCTATCGCATCTGAAGAAACGATTATTCCTGATCCCTCACCTGAAATAGAACATAGCCCGACGAAATCTGAATCTTTAACGGAACTTGAAGAATCAGAGATTCGATGCTCGGAATCACCCTCTGCAACCTCTTTACCGCAAGATGATACGTCTAAACAAATGTCAGAAAACGCATCTGATATATCTGATATCGCTTCAAATTCCGGTGTATGTCATAAGTTGAAGACTCGTAAATCATTGAAAGATAAGGTGATCGATGAATTCCTGGAAGATGTGCATAAGAAAAAAATTAGTGATGAGATCCGGCAGAGAAAGCATGAAGAGAAGCTTCGAGATCAAGACCTATCTTCGGTTAGCCATAAGAAAAAGGGAACAGATAAACTCCGGCAAGAATTGTTCAATACTTCTTTAGAGCCGAGTTCACAAGATCACTCTATATCAAAAAATATTAAACCAGGACAGATCGAAATTTCCGAGACGGCCCGTCCCAAAAAATTAGATAGCGTGGATGGTTCTGCGAAGTGTATTGTTAATTCATTCGACATTAATGAGGTATCACAACATTTAGCTCAGTTGTGCTATACAGCCATAGGCGCAGAAGATCGAGCTTCGAAGGCTAATCAGGAAGAAATCATGTGCTGGTCTCTTTATGGTAGGGATTTTGAATTTCAAGTTGGTGAGATGAGTAGTAAAAATAAAATTGGCGAGAAAAAAGCAAGAACCTTGATTTATAATGAAATTGAAAAATAAACTCTGTATTCTTCGTAAAAAACGATCACAAGACTTGGACTTACAACTTCCAAATATATTACGAGATACCTTGCGCAAAAAAACTCAAAGAGCTGTAAAAATTTATAAGTTATTCGAAAAGATAGGTCTAGATAAAATTAAACATATTAAGAACTATAGTGCAAATTCTATCTCAGAACTTACTAATGACCAAATTCAAGAGATTATTAATTATGGTTTAGAGAGCCAAATCTCTAATTCTCCTTCGCTTGAAATCACACCTGAAGTATCTTCCGAAGATAATATAATTGAGGTAAGTGAATCAACGACAATTTCTACGGATTCGAAAAAATTACCGGAAATGATTCCAGAAGTAAAGCCTCAAATCTCCAACTCGTCAACCGAGGTAAGTGCACTATCTGAAAAGGTTTCATCAGAAACAAAGGTAAATATAATACCTATAAATAAAAATTCATCCAATGAATCCCGACTTCCAATTTCTATATTACCTAATGATCCAGAAGAAAAACGAAATCTTGTTATTCATACCACATTGGAGCAATTCAATAATTTATCTTTAAAACGTAGTAATAAATATAGCGATTGTTATGATTATTCAGGAACATGTCCAACATGTAATGAAGAGCATCAAGGATGCGATGTGGAAGGTCGGTAGGGTGATGGCAATTACTGTGGCGAAAAAACTTATCGTCTCTATTGTCGTAATAGAGCTTTTAGTGGAATCCCGATAGTAAATGTTAAGGCATAAATTAGAGGGTCAAAGGTCACTCTGTCATCATTTAAACGCAGTGCAAGTCGATATACCGGATTTCTTAGCACATGCTATTCGTGTGTGCAACCTAATTTTTGAATTATAATTGTGTGACACTCCGAGCATAAATAATTTGATTCTACACTACTTCCAGAATAAAAAAGCCAGTTGCTAATCATCTTTTTTTTCGTTTCGTACAACTTGTGTATCCAAAATATGTCAGATTCCAACCCACTATCAATTCTAAAAGGAGAAATAAAGCGCCTCGGATTCGTTTCAGACGAAAAAATAAGTTTATTTGGTTACTTCACCGGAAATGAGAAGAATCAAGCTGACGCGTTATCTTTCATTGACGACTGTGATACTGATGAAGAAAAACGTAATTATTTGAGGTCTCTAATCTCTCCACCTGGTATGTTCTAAGATAATGTTGCTTAAACTCTCGTTTTCTGTCATATTTGCCAATAATACCGAATACTTACTTATTCTTGTGCTTTTCTTTCCTGCTTCTTATCGTCAAACCCGCAAAAAAACACATTTACATTATCGTAGATCAACCCGTTGCTGGTAAGTGAGTCGTAATAAAATAGTCAACGCGAATGAATGTATTATGGCTTAACTTTTTGATTTG